AGTCCTTGAGCGCTCACTTCCCTATACTAAGAGTAGGCGATGACGAACATTATACGGTCTATGTCCAAAGGAAAGGACTGATTTTTAATCCAAAAAAAATTCCCACTTGTATCTACATGGAGATGACTGCTCTCGTCTGAATAGTGTCCTGTAATCGAGGCTAATCTAGAAAGAAAGTGAGTGAGATGCTACAAACCTCTGCTGCTACATTGCTGATAGGTAAGATGAGAGGGAAAAAAACTAGACATCAGAGATGGACGTATCTCGAGTGGACTAAATATCAAAAATATGAATGGGTTTTGAAATTCTCCTAAAGCCTACATCATGAAGATCGAAAGCTAAAATATAGAGCTTCCAGCGTTGATCATCCTTGGAGGGATACGTTAAGCGTTCGGCTTCATCCAGCATTGTTTGATTCTTCCAGGAACTTGACTCACCGCCTCTGCTTTCCTACCTGGCAACTCTGGACGGCCTGCTCCACCTCCTTACATCTCTAACCCTTGCCCGCCATTGTTAAATGCAAAACGTTGGGTTACAGATGCGAAAGAGATGGAGCAGGTCGTCCAACGTTGCCAGTGAGAGATGCAGAAGCTAAGCGTCCACGTTCCCGAAAGTGTTAAGGTGCTTGAATGCATATCTGGCCTTTACGATGACTGACGTTAGCCTACCCATGTATCAAGTCAGTGCTGCTATCTTCCCAAACAAGTTTGGTACTAATTCGGTAACCTTGAGAGCTGAAAGAATCGATGAGTTTTGAGCGCGGTATCGAATCATCGACCATCGATCGGTCGATCGTGTGCCGCAAAGGACCTCTAACCACTGCGCTACAACGCCCTGTTATGCATATTTGACACTTTATTGGTCCGTATTCATAATGATTTTTCTTTTTTATGCTTGTACCAATATTTCTAGCACTCAATTCATCCTTTTGTCTGCTTCTTTAACATTGCAGAATACTGTTAGAGCACGTCTTGTGATCTCAACGATAGCCTGCCTGGTTATGGTTTTCCATAGGACTTTCACCGTTGACTGCCGGAGAGAACTGGGGAGTGGAGTTCGAATCTGAGGGCCGCGACGTGCATCACACCACTAAGCCAGTACGCCTCCCTATTGCATATTATAGGGATACCTGAACATTTATTCCACATACTACCAGGACCGATGATATTTTCACACTTCAGAAGAATTTTTCTCTGAGCAGCTTCATAGATACTGCTATGGCAACGGCTGAACGAAGTCATTACATAAGTTAAAAGTAAAAAAAAAGAAGAAGCAAAACCTGGCTTGTCTGGTCTGCAGAATTTTCCTTGTGCTGTGGTGCCTAATTATTAGAAAGAAATTTAGGTAGAAAAAGATAAAACAAAGAAGTCAACGTCGTCGTTCCCGATACTAAAACTCACTTGACGTGTGACTCCTTGCAGAAGTGAAGTGGAAAGTGAATGATGTTGAGCACCACGTTGAGCGGCAGCGTGAACGGGATGCTAAAAAGACGTTTCGAAAGTGACAAACTTCAAGATAAATAGTAAATTTGAGAAGTTCTTCTACAAAAAAAAACAAATCAATTTACTTACTTGATCCAGAGAGGCGACATATTGAGTTGAAGGTTGCTGAGGTGAGTTGTGTGCGGTCAAAGTGGCAATAGCTCTAAAAAAAACAGAAATTTTAGCTTCACACTGCGTGAAAAGCCAGAAGAAACAAGCACAATTCTGTTATCGCGACGCATTTTTCAATCCCTTAAAGAACAAGGCCTTTTTCGCTTTTCCCTTGAACTTTTAGTGATCATTCGTTAGCTCAAACTCTAAAGGACGACGTGCACCAAATGAGGTACCCGATTGCTTGGAGGACTTTCGCTAGACAAAATTTTTCCTTTAGAGACTTGATAATCGCTCAAAAGTTTGAATCCCTGTAAATTTAACAACTCACTTGATTTCTGAAAAAGCCTCTTTATTACTAAGAGAATTGAGTGGTGGACAAAAACACGGTCTCAGGCGGGAATCTAACCCGCATTTCATCCTATCCGGGGACGCGTGCTCTACCACTACACCACTAGGGCACATTTGTCCGACCACTCATTCTTCAACATCTCAATGTTAGCTATCAGCCACCAACCTTTGACAGGTTTGGTCGGGTTTGCGATTTCGCTTTATAAACCCGCTTGAGATGATAGCTATTTTAATTACTAGTACTTCGAAATTATAGTATTTTCACTGCTTTTTTCGCAGTTCTATTATATTACTTATATAACTAAGAGAATTGAGTGGTGGACAAAAAATATAATATAATAATATATAATAATATAATGTAATATAAAATATACATAGTAATATAATAACACTGCGGAAAAAGCAGTGAAAATACTATAATTTGGAAGTATTAGTAAATAAATAGCTATCACCTCAACCGGGTTTATAAAGCGAAATCGCATACCCGAGCAAACCTGTCAAAGGTTGGTGGCTGATAGCTAACATTGAGATGTTGAAGAATGAGTGGTCGGGAAAATGTGCCCCAGTGGTGTAGTGGTAGAGCACGCGTCCCCGGATAGGATGAAATGTGGGTTAGATTCCCGCCTGAGACCGTGTTTTTGTCCACCACTCAATTCTCTTAGTTATATAAGTAATATGATAACACTGCGAAAAAAGCAGTGAAAATACTATAATTTCCTCTTTATTACATTGTAGCAGCGGAAACAAGACTATGTTCCACAATCAGTTTTCTTTATTTGCTGGGTCTTATATATGGCTCATCGACAAGTCACTAGTCACTCGATAGCCAAAATTCCGAGTAATTCGATTTCATAAATAGTTTTTTTGAAAGTCATTATGGACAGCTGTAAGAGCGAGAACAAGGTTACAAGAAGTTTGCACTCAAAGTTATCATCGTTCAGAAAAGTTATATACGCACGAAAAACGTATGACCATGTAGAGGAAATTACGGGATATCAAAAAAGTACAAAAAACCTGGGGCCTCACTTCCCAAAGAGAGGAAAACTTCAATTGAACAACGAAAATTGCGCGCTTCTTGCGAGGTGCCCTGCGCAATCAGTCAACTGCCGCCCCTAAAGGACTTAACGTCAGTGATTCCAGTACTATGCTTGCTTCCTGGAAAAAAGGCCGTATCGAGGGCGGAATAAGATTGAGTTTAACAATTGGCGCGCAGTTTCGGTTCATGTATGTTTTATGTGGATAAATGAGGAAGCTACCTTTTCGCTGGACGGAAACTTTTCATGGAAGTGTTGGTAAAAATTCGAAAGCTCAAATCTCTTTCTATGGCGCCAAATAACCTTTTTTCGAAAAAGTCTTTTTACAATGCTGCAGTACAAGGAGAATATTTGTGTTTCACACAAGCATGTTTCTCGCATGAAAGAAGCGTTTCCTGAAGTTAAAAATAACCCTTCGATAGCGCAAATTTCAGGAATTCTAATGTTGCGTCTATTTTCAGAAAAGACCGTTCCACTGCAATGTAGCAGGGAAAGTAAGACCGGGTTTCACATACGCTGTGCACTTGTTTGCTAGCTAGTGTGGGAGTTGGGTGTTCAACAGCGGATTTGATACGGTGTCCCGCAATCGATCAATCGATCGATCACATTGGCTCGTTACACAATGGGAGTGGATCCTTTGCTACTTGGTATGGGATTTTTTCTCCACCTAGAAGATAAAACTTCAGATTAAACTAAGACTCTGTTACTACAAAATTTCCTCTACACGTTCATGTACTTCTCGTACTTCCAGCAAAGTAATAGGTAATAGTGAAAAAGCGTGTCCGACGTGAAACAATTTTATTTTGAATGCTACAGCGTTAAAAAAATCTTTTCAGGAGAGGAGCACGTAGCACTGTAGTCAGAGAATTAAGCTGTTTAATGATTACCAACACTCTTACGATCAATTCTTGTTCAGCGAAAGGGATTTTCTCTTGCCGGATAACCAAGATGAACCGCATTTTCTTGGGTAGGTGAGTGAATGACTGTGCATGGGATTTCGCAGTCTCTTCAGCAAACAGCTCTTCATTGGCTGAGGTTTGTGGATTGCCTTTGAACAGACTTTTGATGGTTTATTTGGCAACATAAGATAAAAATAGTAGCTTAGTTGCATGAAACAGTAGAAGGAAGTCTTCTCTGCAACGCTCACAAAAAAAAAATCTAGAATTTTCAACAAAACGGAGAAAAAAGTCGCAAATGAATGACGAAAATACGAGCGACTAAGAGCGTCAAATGTGAAACTCAATTTTATTTTCGTTGTTACAGCGCAATGAGAGCGCTTTTTGGAGAAGCAAGCACAGCATTGGAACCTCCGAAATTTAGGCTAGCAAATGATTACTGAAAGTCTAAAAATGAAGCAAAAAAGGCCTCGTTCAGCGGGTTGAAAAACGTTCAAAGGAGCCCGATAACGGAATTGTACCGGTTACAAGTCCAGTTACCTGAACAGATCAAGGCCCTGATGAGATTGATGAGCAGCAGTAGCAGCAGTTTCTTGTGCTGTTTTTGATAAGCTTCCAGCAGCGGTAGGAAACATTTGGGAACGGGGTTGACAACTACGGACGGACGAACGGTGAGGGAGAGATAGGTGCCGTCAGTCACCCGTGCACGGGTGATACGACTACAAAATCGAAAATAAAATAAAAATTAATCTGAAAATCAGCTATATTTTGGTGGACCCTACAGATAAATCGACATCAAAAACATGAAATAACTAGCATATATCGTAATAAATCACGAAAAAAAGCTCCTCTTTTTTCCTCTCTCGCGACCTCAGCATGGAAAATGTAAACTATCTCACAAACTTGGATAAAATCTTTCCGCGGAATGTCGATTTCTTTGGTTAATAATAGATTCTTTTTTTAATTTGGTCAGTCTCGTCATAAAAATTTCCGACTCAACTGGCTGAGTAGAAGACGAAAGTGACCCAGACTGTCTCTTTTGGAAAAAGAAAAGGACGAAAATGACTAAAAACCAGGCCTAAGCCTAAGCCTAAGCCTAACTAAACAAACTAAGCCATATGAAATGTGCCTCAGTGGAGTAGTGGTAGAGCACGCGTCCCTGGATAGGATGAAACGTGGGTTCGATTCCCTTCTGAGGTCAAGTTTTTGCTCACCACTTAATTCTCTTAGGAGTATAGAAAAGATCATAACAGTGCGAAATGTACTAAAAGTACTATTAATTTCGAGTATTAGTAATTAGAATAGCTGTCAGCTCAACTGGGTTTATAAAGCGAAATCGCTTACCCGACCAAACCTGTCAAAAGGTTGGTGGCTGATAGCTAACACTGAGATGCTGAAGAATGAGTGGTCGTGCAAATGTGCCTCAGTGGTGCACTGGTAGAACACGCGTCCCAGAATAGAGCTGGAAACGTGGGTTCGATTCCCGCTTGAGGCCGTGTTTTTGCTCTCCACTTAATTCTCTTAGGAGTATAGAAAAGATCATAACAGTGCGAAATGCACTGAAAATACTATCAATTTCCAATGAAATGAGCTAAACTAACTAAATATTAATTTATAACAATGATATGATTGATAAAATCAGAACTACGTAGTGTAATTTATTACGTAGTTGTTCGATATACAAAACTAAGGCAAAAAGTTTCATAAATAGATGAATCGACATTTATGAAATAACTAGAGTATTTCGTAATGTGCCTGACAATCATTTTTTGAGCGACGCATGCCAGTAGTAGATCAAAGAGGGCTAACTCAAAGAGCTCAATACTCGTGTTTTGATCTTAAGTCTATAAGTCAGCCCTCATTAATCGACCACTGACAAGCTTGGCTCAAAAAAATAATTACTAGGCATATTGTAATTTGAGCTGTGGTTTTCAGAAAACACTCGAGACGAACGATATAATATAATCCGTAATGAATTGAAAAAAAACCGACTTTTCTTCTCTTTTGCGCGATCTCAGTAGGGAAAATGTGAACTATTTCAGAACACTTGAGTAATCCTCGCAAACCTCGCGATTCTCTATCAATAGCAGCTACTGTTTGATTTAGCTGGTCGGACAATTAAAAATTTTCATTGCATCCTAGCGACATGAGGCCTAATCGAAAAAGAAGCCAGCTGGCCTACAAATTGTCGTTTTTCAGAGAAAGATAGGAACAAGAATGACTGGAAATCCAGCAGAAGTCTAAGCTTAAGCTTAAGCCTAACTAAACTAACTAAACGAAAAAAAAATGAGCTACAATTTCCTAATAAATGAAAGAAATGATATGATAGTGACAGCACTAGAAAAAGTATTATATCCTCTGAAACAGCCGCTTAATACGAAATCCTAAGTCTAAAAAGGCTTTATGAGATGGATTACGTCAGTAACCGAAAAGAGAACTAACAAACAAATACATGAAAAAGGAAGAAATACAACAAGCTAAGTATTGGCATAGCGAAAACATTGTTCGTTGACAGATGGTTCAAAGGCTTCGAAGGAGACATTTCTGATCCTGCAGACATCCCTTTTTCTGCCGCATACGGCTAAGATGGCCAAGAAAAAGCTTGAAAAGGTGGACGGCGTGGAGGTACACTAGCACCACGTCGACAGTGCAGACGTTGCTCCATCTGATTATGCCTTCCATCGAACAATGTAACACTTTTTTGGATAACCGCGATGTGAACAATTTAACGCAGCTGAAGAAGCATGTAAGGAGTTTTTCAATTCAAAGCAGCATCAATAGTACTTCGAGCGATGCGAAATCTTGCATAGCGATAACAGAAACCGTTCACAGTGGTGATCTACACTATGAAGAATATGACAGATAATCATATTTGAGCCACGCATGTCATAAAAAAGGATAAAGCTCTCGGCGTTAATCTATCCCTGAGGGATGCGCCACGCATTCGACTTCAATTTTCAACTTCGTTTGAGGTGATTGAATGCACATCTGGCCTTTACAATGACTCGCGGTGGCCTCCCGCCGAACCGAGTCAGTGCTGCTTATCCTCCCAGACAAGTCTGGGACCTGTCTGGTACCAATTTACCTACCCCGGAGGGATGGATGGCTTGGTGAGCCATGAGCGCGAGATCGAACCAGTGACCTCGTGTGCGACGCAGGGCACCTCTAACCACTGCGCCACATGCGCTTTACGCATGTCATATGGTCTGTTAAATAAGCTGACTGATAGAGCCCAATTAACGTGTTTCGACCTTGATCGTCTCGTCAATCGGGCAGTTAACCTTCGTCTTTAGCCAATCCTCTCGAGGTGCTTACTCTGCTGTGCTGAGAGTGGGCGCTGACGAACTTTATTCGAACGTTCCAGCTGTCATTCTGCCACCGAAGTAACACAACATATGTAGACCACTTCACCACAAGGCGGTCCATACAACGTGACCGTGTACTAGCAAGAGTTCGTCAAAATTGTCTGCTATAATTTTATCAAAGCCGCGTCACGCCCACCCACATATTGCGCGTCTGACATCGCAAAAGATCGAAGAATAAGGACGGGATAGTTTAATTCGTCCACCGTTCTGCCTAAATGCTGCTCCAAATGATTACCATCTCTTAAAGTCGCTACAATATTCTTTGCTAGAGAAGCGCTATGCCAAAGTCGATGATGTGTTAAAGCACCTTTTCGAGTATTTTATTTGTTGAATTTATTCTGAGTGCAAAGAATCTATAGTCTAGTTTAGCTTCAGCCAAAGGTAAACGTGAAGTTTGTGTAATCACGCCTGTTGTCGCCGGCGCATATTTAAGCAGGACGTGGATTCGGATTGATGAAATGCATCATATAAAAGCACGTTATACTTGTGGTGGCTGTTTGTCATTATCAGTAAATGTAATTCTAATTTCTGTTCTTTTCGATTATCTGGGGAAAGATGAATGAGCGACCTCTTTGGTTTACAAGGACTTTTTAATGCATTGTTGTCGTTTGAAAATATACAAATCTGACTGCTGCACTATTTGGTTGTTTTTCAAAAAGTTTTTTTTTTGGTTTTTCTTCATTAAGAGGGGACAAATTAAAAGTGGATTTATTCGCTGGGGAGGAAGACTTCATAGGAGTGCTAGAAATTATGCGAAAGCTGAGACTTCAGGCTACAGCCTGACGTAGTCGGTTTTTCAAAACCCCCCTTTGTAACACTGTAGCATCCAGATAGATATTCATGTTTCACACTCGCCTTTCATCTTCATTTTTATCACACGTATGATTCGCTTCAAGCCGGAAAGCATCACACTGTGTAGAGGAGCTCTTGTAGTATATTGTTAAATCGTTTTATCTGGAGTTTCATTCAAAGCGAAGTGAAAATTCCCAGCTGATATTAATATTCCTGCTGAAACGCATTTTTAGAGAACAAGCACATCGCCCGATTTAGAAAACATTACTCTTTCAGATGATTACTATTAGTCTGAAAAAGATCGCTGATCGGCTAGGTTTGAAGCAAGACTAAAAAAAAACCAAAGGAGGTCGAAAGATCAAGAGAGCTCAAAAACAACATTTTTTGAGTTGTTTGAAGTTTCTGCTATAGTTTGATACTAGCACCTTGAGGAATAAACTTTGTCTAGCGAAATATAATCGAGATAAGAGGCAGAAACACCAGGTTTATGGAACGACTTTGATTTGATTACGGCGCTATGAAGATATGTTTTAGAAAACCGGCAATATCGGGTTGTAACTTAAAATCTCAGCTTTCGAATTGTTATTAACACAAGAGTTTCTCTAAAGCGAATAAAATTGGTTTTACACTCGTCCTTTCTAATCAGAAAAAACCACCTTTTTTATGACGTTGCAGCAGAAAGAAAACTATGTTTTGCACACACATACACACACAACTATTTCTCACAGTGCATATTGTTAGTAACCCCTCGATATCGTAAGTTTCGTGCATTCCAATGATGAGCTTATTTCGTGGAAAGGTTATTTCATTGCAGTGTAACAAGAAGAATAAGATTGAGTTTCACATACATGGCGCATGTTTGTAGGCCAATATGTGGAGGAGAGGGGCGGGAGGGGAGGGAGCTGGCTTTGGATTCCACACGGCCATCGATCGATCGCGTTGGCACTACTCGCATCTCGAGAGCAATTTTGTTATTTAACTTGGGATTTTTTTTCCGCTCAGGAATTATTCTGGATAAAACAAATGGCACTAATACTTCAAGATTTCTTTTGCACGTTCATAAGTTTTTCGTGCTTCCAGCGAAGCCATGGAGAAAACAAGTGGACAGTGTAAGACGTGATTTAAATCAAATGTTAAAGCTTTACTGAGGAATCTTCTTACAAAGATGCAGAGTCGATAATGCTGACATATACCTTGAATGAAACAAAAGCTTTGGAGAATTTATGGAAATTTCGCTTTTATGCGCAAATTAGCAACACAAATGGCCATTACTATCCTTGAAAGCATTCCTTGTGTTTTTCAAGAACACAGCTAAAATTTTAGTCTGCCTGATAATCATTTATAAACCACACTCATTATTTGGTCTGTTAAATGGGCTGACAGAACCCGATACACGTGTTTCAACCTTGATGGTCTCTTCAGTCGGGCAATTAACCTTCGCCGTTAGCCAATCCGCTCGGCGTTCTCTGTCTCGTATACTATGATTAGGCAACGACGTCATTGAATATATCATACCTTTCCTTTGGGGTGTTTACTTGAGACCATGTGCTCGGTTATAGTTTCACCGGACATGGAGTGTAAAATGTCCGTCCTCGCCTACTCCTAGTATAGGGGAGTGAGCGAGCCGAGAGGATTGGCTGAAGACGAAGGTTAACTGCCGGACCGAAGAGACCATCAAGGTCGAAACACGTGTATCGGGCTCTATCAGTCAGCCCATTTAAGAGGCCACATGATATGCGTGGCTCAAAAATGATTATCTGTCATGTTCTTCAAAGTATAAATCACCACCGTGAACGGTTTCTGTTATCGCTTTGCAAGTCCGGTTGTGCTCGAAGCACTATTGATGCTGCTTTGAGTCGAAAAGCTCCTTATATGCTTCTTTAGCTTCATTAAATGACTCACGTCGACGGTTATCCAAAAAAGTATTACATTGGTTCATTGAGGGCATAATCAGATGGAGCTACGTTTAGACTGTTGATGGAGTGCGAGTGGATCGGTGGTTTTCCACGCCGTCCAACTTTTCAGACTTATCCTTGGCCATCTC